CAACATGAGTGGCACAGAAGATAAGAATTCAGACAAATAATTCAGACATTGCTACTAGACAAGCCGTACGAGATAGTATCCAATCACAACATGAGTGGCACAGAAGACAAGAATTCAGACAAAGAACTAGTGGTTGGAGTAACATATATGAAGAAGGACGAAGTTCTCATGGTTCAGTTGCTGAATATTTTGAAAAAAGAACAAGGAAATCAACTCCAAATGAGTCTGAATTTTCATTAAGGGGAGCTATTCCTGAATTGGTTAGAAGTAAAAGTTCAAGACAACCAAAAGTAAGTGATTCATTTCTAAAGACATTAAGAAGAAAAATGGGTGAATCAGTATCAAAATTTTTTATATATGATCGACTTCCTTTTCAATTAGCAAATTTCTCATAATTGCATAATTTAATTTTTGTGACAGCAAAAGTTGACCAACATGTAAGACTTCCAACACCTTATGAGGTCTCAGATGTGTATTTAAAGTCTGAGTATCAACAAGTTCATAAATGGGTTAATGGATTAAAAGCTTATTGGAATGAATTGGGTGTCACTTTGATGTGTGATGGTTGGACCAATAGTTTGAATAAAATGCATATCATTAATTTCCTTGTTTACTGTAGTAAAGGGACTATTTTTTAGAAATTTGTAGATGTCTCAAGTGTTCGTAGTAGAAATACAAACTTTTACTATAGATTATTAGATGAAATTGTGAAAGAAATTGAAGAAAATACATTGTTCAAATAGTCACTGATAACGAGGCAGTACTTAAGGCTGCAGGAAAAAGACTAATGGAGAAGAGAAAACATTTATATTGGACAGCATGTTCAGCTCATTGTTTGGACTTGTACCTTGAAGATATTGGGAGGAAAAAAATGTGACAAAGGTTTTGGATGATACAAAGAAAGTGACTTGTTTTATATACAATCACATTTGGACTGTTAGTTTGATGAAGAAATATACATAAAGGAAGCAAATACTTCATCCTGCTCTTACCCGATTTGTCACTCATTTCATACAATTAGAAGAAATAATGAGGCAAAAGCAAAGTTTAAGAGAGATGTTCAATTCAAATGTTAGTACTTAGTAATTAGTACAACTATTTAAATCTAGCACTTTTTATGATATTATTGTTTTAAAATATTAATTTAAAATATATTACTCTAAAAATTTATTGATGAATATATAGGAATTTAAAGATTCAAAATGAGGACAACAAAAATTAGGACCTGCTTATGAAGTCAAAAAAATCATTTTGGAAAAAGATTTTTGAAAAAATGCAGGCGATATAATAAAAGTTTATGAGCCTTTGGTAAAAATGTTGCGCCTTGTGGATGGTGATGAAAAACCAACAATGGGTTTTATTTACGAGGCTGTGGATAGAGCTAAACAAGCAATTCAACAAACTTGTCATTATTCTGCTGAATATGAAAAAATTATTGATAATAGATGGAGTTTCATGCACTCTGACTTACATTCAGCTGGTAAGTAAACCAAGAATATAGATGGTATTTAAAAAATATGTTTATTTTTTATACTTAAATTACTTATATATTTATTTTTTATTACTTTAATATAATATTGTTATAAATTATGTTTAGGTTACTATCTAAATCCACAATTTCAATTTGGAGTGGAACATTCTGCAAATGTATTTAAAGAAACATTAGAAGGTATAAAAGCAGTTATTGAAATATTAGAACTTTCGATAGATACTCAAATAAGAATGATTAATCATGTTAGTATTTAATACTATTTTATAACTTTAACATTTGTTTTATGTATTAAAAATTAAATTATTTTTTATTTATTCATTTATTATTGTATTTTCAATCGATGTAGTTGTTATTATTTCGAGACAAGCATGAAACATTTGATAGTCCACAAGCACAAAGAGCTTGGAAGCAAATGAATTCAGGTAAATAGTAAATTAAATAATTATAATTTATTTATATTATTTAATTGTACAGCCCATTGAAATTTAATTTAAATAATTTTATACAGCTGAGTGGTAGATGATATATGGCACTTGTGTTCCTGAATTACAAAAACTAGCAATCAAAGTGCTTAGTCAAACAACATCTGCATCAAATTGTGAACGTAATTGGAGCACATTTAGCTATATTCACACCAAAGCAAGAAACAGATTGAAGTTTAAAAGACTCCAGAAACTTGTATATACTTATTATAACATGAGGTTAAGGATGAGACATCAGAAAAGAATGAGCATTGATGAAATAAATAATAGTTTTAATCCTATTAGCCTTGACCATATTTTTGAAGATGATGATCCACTAACAGAATGGCTGCAAGAGAAAGAAAATCTTCTATTAGATGGTCAAAACTCTGATTGGTTGCCTACAGATAATTCTGATAATGAAATGAATGTTGAATGATCACGTCAATCTCAAGAAAAGAATGTGTCTCATTAAAGTTCAAGTCCAACACCAAGTCAGAGTGATGATGGTGGTGGTTTAAGTCCATATGATGATGGTGATGGAGATGTGATGGTGATGGTACAAATTTTGGTGATAATATGGATGCAAATTGACCTTACAGCCCACTTGGAGGAGAATTTGGGCTTGCTGCTACTGGTGGACTTTTTATTAATATGGCAAAATACGAAAGAAATCCATTTGCTGAATCTAGTGAGGGTCAAAGTGCACGTACAACTCGATCAAAAGAAAAGCGAAGAAGCACCACTATGAAATTTTTAGAGGTTCTTCATCTTCAGGTGAGAGACCAAATTCTAGTAACTTTGAGTATAGTGAATCATCTGCTAGTACTCAAAGACATTACTATCCACCAGAACAACATAATTTTCAACCTCCTTATGGTTATCCATCTCCATATGGTTATTATCCACCTTAAATGTATCTTCCACCTCCTCAAATATATCCTCCACCTCAAATGTATCAAAAACAAAGGTCTTAGGGATAGAGATGGAGTCAACTTGGCTCACAAAGTAAAGATAGAGAATCTGATCCTCCTCGTCATTCTATCATGTGGTAAATTTGAAATATGTATCAATAATTATAGTTGATGGAATTTGAATTTATTATATTTTTAAGTTTGTAATTTTATTAAATTAAATGCTTGATATTTAACATATTATATTTTGTTAATATTTGATTTGTCTAGAATTAATATTGAATATGAACTTGGCCAAGAAAAATTTTATGGATAAACCAAATATGAATGCTTTTTATAATCTAAATAAAATTGTGAATAATTTTTTTAGAAAATAAAAAACATAGAGTATCATAAACTATTTTTAAAATCATTGAATAAGAGTTTTTATAATTATAATTATAATTATTATATTTTATAATAAATTATGCAAAAAAACAATTTTTTCAATCGTGATGATCGTAATAACCGTAATTATCTCCGTTATATCCAAAAACGGAACAAATATTACGCGACCGAAAACGTAACCGCGATCGCTATTTAAATCCCTGCTATTATCTACTATTTTCATTTATAAAAAGTAACAGAAGAATATTATGTGTGGCCATAACTCCGTTAGCTGCTATTTTATCACCCCCCCCCCCCCCCCTTTATCAGAATCATACTTTTTAAGATCTTATATAAATCTACCAACCATATCACGGGCATGAGTAGTAATAATTTTTTTCCCTGTGGGTTGCTTTCGGCTGAGATCTAGTCGGATAAGGTGCTTTTGATTTATAGGTTTGAAAGAAGAGAAGCACAACAGATTATTCCACATGGGTTGTGTCCCCACTGGTTTACCTACATTAGAATATCTAAAGAAAGCAGTGGCACTAATTGACATCCCTCTGTATCAGTAAATTAAGGCCTTGCCAGTTGCTGACAGAGCTAATAAAAATTTGCAAATCGTACATTATTAGCATTTTTGTAGTTTGCAGAATGTGGTGCTCAGTGCCTACCAAAATCTCTAATGAGCCATGACATGTAATCCTTGCGGATAAGTGCTAACTTAGCTACTAAAATATTGAAGATTAATGCATTAAAAGCAGTCCCATTGTGTGTGTGAGTTTGATTGTTTAGTTATATTATAGTTTGGTAGTTAATTATTCGATAATTATAATTTGATTATAATGTAATAATTGATTATTCAGTTAATTATATGAATGTAATATTTTATTATGATTGTAACTTCAAAAAAGCAATGCAGATAGTAATAAACATTGCCAAGAATTTAACTTTTGACATTGGATAATTTGTGTGAGATCTTATCCGAAGAAGAAACCGCCAAAATCTTGAATACATTTGGAGCCCGAAAAATTGGGGAACGCTTTTTTTCCTCTGCCTTTCCCTTCCTTTTAATCGACATTAAATAATTCTGTGTGGCTTTTGCTGAACTAAGCCATATTGACTTTATTATTGTTGTCCAACCAAGTTCAACTCTTTAACTGCTCATATGGGACAAGAATAATTGTTTCTAACAATAATCTTTCTTTTCTCCTAATCTCATTAATTTAAACTAATATCATTTGAGTTTCATTTTTCATTCTTAGTCAGTAAGTTGAAACATGTGGATGTGATGTTGGTTTCGTGAATTCAAAATTAATCTTGAGCCCATTGGTAGGCTGCTGCCCCAAGTGTACTCTACAGAGAACTTGGTAATGGTAATATTAATAAATGCAAAACAAAACGTGATGGGAATATGCAGGATTATACCAACCACCATCTTTTGTGTGTGTGTGTGTGTGTTTTGGCTAACCACCATCTTTTCTTAGTGACCGTAATTTGTTTGAACTTTGAAGAAGATATATATAAGATAAAGCATCATAGTGTGCTTCAATTCACCTTTTCATTAAGGAATAAGGATAATGGCAATGCTACTTGCAGAGTTCTTTTAGATTGTAGAAGGCATATTCATGGTTTGTAAATGCATGTGCATATGTCATTCGCCAAGTCAGGGCGCTTTGAAAAAGATAAAAAAGCTAAAAAGCATGGTCGGACAGACGGAACATTTCCAACCCCATTCTTTATTACAAAGCAGTATCTTTCCTTTATCATTACATGGAACGTAGTCACCCTTCTTTTTACTTTATTTCCTTTTCTCTCAACATTTTTTTCCTTCTTTCTCTCTCTAACGGCTTATATTCCTCAGATTTTTGTGTGCATTGTCTTTTAAATCACAATAAAAATACATTTAGCTCTATGCCTAAACCCAGAAAAACCTCTCAGCAATTATGATGGCTAAAGGGGCTTCTAGTTGCCTCTTCTTATCCCTTTTGTTTCTTCTTATTATCTGCTCTTCTGGTAAGTAAACACATCTCTTGATTACTCTCTTTACTTTCTTGCAAATTCATATAGGGAAAAGCCAAATAACGGGCTCATTTTTGTACTTGGAAAAACAACTGTTATAGGGACCTGTGTTTTAAGCAAGAATATTTAGACTATTCCATCTATATTCATATGCATAAATGCTTAGTTTGTTGTTTTTGTAGTTTGCATCTTGTACAATCAACTGCAACTTTTGAAGTTATTTTACTTACAACCACCTTTTTCGCCACCCCTTTGTCTCCCCAGGAACTCTGGTGGGTTTCTCCTATCATGCAAGGGGAGAACCTGCAGCTTGTTCAACTAGTAGAACCATATCATTCCTCCAGCTAAACAAGGTGTCCCCATCTCAGATCCGAGTCTTTGTAGCAGATCATACGGCATTGAGTACTCTGTCTAATTCTGGTGTATCTGTTGATCTCCATTTAAATGAGAGTTTAGTTGAGAATTTGAGAAGCTCCAACTCAACTGCTATTTCATGGCTGAAAACCCACCTAATAACCGTTCTCCCACATGTTGACATAAAAACCATTGTTGTAACCAGAATAACTAATGATTTTCGAGGGCAAACTGAGTTAGTTAAGCTTTTATCCACCTTGAAATCAATTCATTCGCTTCTCAGTAGTTTTGATCTTCACAAGGAAGTAAAGGTCTCAGTAGCATTTTCATCGTCGTTCTTACAAAAAATGAAGAGCGAAAGAGATCTGCATAAGATTTTTGGTTTTATCAAGAAAACTGGATCCTCTGTCATTCTAGAAGCCATTATGGATGGAGAACTGATCAGCATGGGAGATCGATTTGTTCAGTCTGTGATTGAAGAAGCCAGTCTTGCCACTTCTAGTCTTCCTTGCACTAACGTTCCTATAATTCTGACAATGAAAAGTTCTGCTGTTCCTAGCTCAGCTGAAGTAGCTGAATTTACTGCTAAGGTTGAAAAATCTTTAGAAAACAACGTTGAGATTACAAGTCGGATAGCTGCATTATATGCAGAAGTATCTTCGGTGGAAGATTTTGTAGAAAAAGAACTTGAGGAGGAAGAAGAGCAGATCTCTCTTTCTTCTCGTAGAGAACTGCTTAGTAGCGTAAAAAAAACAGCTCATGATACTATCATCCCACCGACAACAACCTTCCCTACACCTCCCACTTCAACGACACCAGTCTCCTTCCCTCCAAATAACCCCACACCAATAATTGTCACCGTCCCTTCTACTAATCCTGTCACCGTAACGCCCACAAATCCTGCAGAAACACCATCACCAATTCCCATCACCACACCGGTCACAGTACCCTCCACAATTCCCAACAATCCGACGGTACCAATCACCAATCCAGTTACAACACCTACACCCATCACAGAGCCAGGGGCACAGCCAGTGACTAATCCTGTAACAACGTATCCCGCTCCAACAGGAGGTGTCCCAGTCAGCACACCAGTTACAAATCCAGTCCAACCTCCTGCAACTACAAACGCTCCTGCAATTCCAGGACAGAGCTGGTGTGTGGCCAGGACTGGAGCGTTGGAGACTTCACTTCAGGCAGCGTTGGATTATGCTTGTGGAATCGGAGGAGCCGACTGCTCACAGATCCAGCAAGGCGCCAACTGTTTCAATCCAAATACTTTACAAAACCATGCATCATATGCTTTCAATAGCTATTATCAGAAAAACCCAGCCCCAACCAGCTGTGACTTTGGGGGGACAGCAACCACAGTGAACACCAATCCAAGTAAGAAAAGTCTCGCGTCGCTTGCTTGCTTGTTTATTGAGTCGATTATCTTTTGAAAGCTTTGAATATTTAAACGATAGCTTACACTCTCATAATTAAAACTTTCGATAGGCAGTGGATCATGCATTTACCCATCTTCTGCATCACAATCAACTCCAACTGCAACACCAGCAACAACGTCACCAACATCAGGGGCAGGCGTAACAGGGTAATTAAATAGTTCTTTCTGATTGCTTTGAAATATTATATTGCTATTATATACGCTTAAATTGGAGAAGTGACCCTGCACGTATTTTGCAGCTCCGTCACCCCAACTTCGGTTTTAAATTCAAGTAACCCTGGCTCAGCTTCTACAACTGTTTTTGGGTCCGATACACCTCCCAGTGTCAACACATCAACATCCTTGTCAGCTGGTTTACAACCTTTTATTAGCTGCAGCATTCTGCTGACATCCTTTGTTGCAGGAGTAATCTTTCTAGATGCGTAGAATTGAGCACCTCGCCATGTATATAAACAGGTTAGAAGCTCATGCTTCAAGTAGTTTACAAATCCTCTTTCTGGGGAAAGATACAGGACTTGAGGTCCAAAGTGGCTGATCATAGCGATAGATCCTGTTGAAGATGTTCACCGCCCTACATAATCTGCTCAAGATGTAGAGATGTTTCTAGGTCTTGGTAAAAAAGAATAGTTTTCACACGAAAACATACTGCTACATATTAAGTTTAGCGTTAGGGTGCTATTTAGGGAGATGACAGTTGTAGGCGAGGCATGGGTTCGGCGTGTAGAATAGGTACTGATAATCTTGTGTATCTTTATCAAGTAGTGGAATTTGTAGGTTTGAGATGGATCCATGATGAAATTATCAAGATTATTGATGGTTTGCATAAAGAGCGGAAATGGTAAAGCTAATGGTTCTTGAAAAAGGGTCCATTGGATGATTGTCGAGAGCAAATCTGTACCCTATGGGAATTGAAACATTGAATGGATATCATTTGCAAAGGGATTGGACTGGCAATAAAAAGGGGGTAATACTTAAAACCCCATATTACATTAGTACCCGTCCGGCAGGTATAACCGTATTGACAAATATATGAGCAAGGTCAGTCTATATTCACTAATTCACTAAAATCTCGATTTAAAATTTTTAGAACAAATCTGAAATTCAAATATCTGTTAAACGCATCAGCAATTTCTTATGTCCTCAAAAAGAAGAATAGTGGAGATAAAACATTGGCTTGGAGAGAGAGAGAGAGAGAGAGAGGGTGGGGGGGGCAAAATCAAGAGTTTGATTACGTACTACCTCTCCTCTGCAAAATTACCAACCGATTAATTTCTTTTGGATCAAATACAACCGATTTTCTCCATGTATCAATTTACGTAGAAACATATACCTTAATTAAGACGCCTATCATTTTATTTCCCTTCAATTTGTCAAGATAGCAATTAGCATTTGCTAGTCTGGCAGCACTAGGACTCTAAAAGTCAAGCTTTCAGCCAAGAAAATAAAAACTCTATGACAAGAAGCAAACGCAATAATTATAGTTCCAGGCCGGATGCAAGGACTAGCGTTCCTATCATATGTAATGTAGGCCCCGCAACGCGGGATAAAGCATGAAGAATTGGTGACATTTTGTCTTGGTGATGGTGTGCACTGCAGCTAATGAGCCATTATAAGGAAACAGGAAAAAGGACGAAAAAATTGTCATGAATGTTGTCGGCATAACAATGAAATCATCTCAATGTAGCTCACAACGAGGGTAGATTTGATTTCGACTGATACTAGGAAAAAGATCCTTTACTACATACATCTAAAAGCCTTTCTACGAGGGTAATGGCTCTACGGCTTTCCTAAACTCTTCAGGTATTCATTTACACCACATCTAGATAACTAAATCAATCAGCGCTTTGAAAACACCACCAAGATCAACATTGACATGGAAACTACAATCTTGAAACCAGAGGTTTCCCAGAAATTCTGTTTCCCCGCACCCACAACTCCACATTGTTGTTTTGCTGCCAGCTGATCTTTAAGTTCTTTTAGAGCTTTGTCCCTGCGCTCTCCCATCTGCCAAAATTAGTAGGATGAGCTCACTGTATGACATGCAACTGAAAATTACTCCAAAAAAATGTGTTTGTTTTATTAAAGGAGTATGAAAGGACTTAAACATGCCAAGGGGAATATGTTTGTAGAGGCTATCCAAGTTACGGAGTTGGCCAGATAAAATAAAAGTAATGTAGTAAAATGTTTAAAGTGGACAATATGCCCCCAACTAACGATTCATGTATTCATATCAAATAAAATATTGAAATTCATGCATTTTATTATGTTTTATACGAAAATTATATATTAAAATTCGTGCTAACATGAAAACATAAAATATATATTTTTAATTTTATTAAACTCATATATAATTATTATTAAAATTTTAATCCGTATCATCCACATATCTTTTTGGTCTATATTTATTAATCGGAGAACTGAAAAACTTGGCTCGTAAGCATGTTCAGCACAAGAAATGGGCCAATTTGTACAGAGGGCCCAGTCGACTAAAGGAAAGTTCAAACAGGGATCTAAACAAATAAGGAATCCAAGCATTTTCAGTTCTGATGCAAAACAAATATTTAATAAACAGCTCATCAGTGGAGAACTAATTAGCAGCAGACGATCATTAGAATCCTATTTTAGAAATGAAGCAAGATATTAACATTACCCTTTGCAGTTTTCGTGTCTGAGCACGAGCTTCCTGGAGACAAAATTCCAACTTCAACACCCTCTTTTTCAGTTCCTGATCAGCTCGCCGCCGTTTCTCTAACTGCTCCATAAGATCATTAAAAATCCAAAAGATCATTAAAAATATATTACAAATGTATATATTAAAGAAGGTAAATGGTAATAAAATTCAAAGGATTTTTTTTTTAAGGCAACTTATGCATAAAAATACCTGTGATTCCAATTCCTTGGTTTTGAGCTTCCAGTGGGCTGACATAATCCTGATTTCATCTTTCAGTCTGGCTATTTCTTCATCCTTCACAATCAAAAGCTTATTAATCTTTTCAAAATTCTTGGGAGAAACCTCATCCAACAGTTTCCTGAGGTCACAGTCCTTGTTTACTCCAACCTTAGCAACAGCTTGCATGATATCATGCTCAATTCTCAAAACCTCATCTTTCAACTGCTTTTGGGAAAATTCCCTTGCTTGAAGATCCTTCTGCAAATTATCTAGTTGCTCTCCTAACCTAGTTACACGATCCTCGTGCTCTTTCAGTGAACTATTCTTCTCATCTAACTCCTTTAACAGTGCCAAACACTGCAGCTGTGCTGACTGAGCGGATGTAGCACTAGAATCAGCAGTTGCTTGAGAGACTGAAAGCTGTGATCTGAGATCATCCAATTCCCCACGGTACTGAGAGTCAATTACAAACACATATCAAAATCCTACAAGTGGATTACGCTAAACAAAAGAAAAATCATTGAAGCAGCACTACCGAAGGAGACACACTTCACATGAAAACTAAAATAGATAATAAAGTAGAAAAAAGTTTATAAATGCTGGCCCAAGATAAGCCTCATAAACATCCAATTTGAAGGCAACATGGTAGCGTGACTAGTGTAATTACACTTCACACCGTTGCATTTCACATAAGATCATTTTCTTTTCAATATGCAAAGACATATTTGAGCTTCTTTAAAAATGAAATAGGTGAAAATTCAATTATGATCTGACAGCACACTTGTTAAAAATAGATCTCCAGAGTTGGAAACTATCACGTTGTAAATAAAATTGCTATCTAATCGGTGCCTTCTACACAACACCAAAAAATATCTCAGCAATTAGTACAGGGAATACCATCAAAGGTCTCAATAGGTGCATTATTTCTATCAAATAACATGAGGTATATAGATTTAGCATCTTTTTTCAAATATCATTTAACAAGAATTTAACAACCGAGTAAGAACATTATCATGACTTATTGCTTTTATGCTTAAGTTATTAACATGCCTCAGTTAAACTAGTAAAGTTACCTTTAGAAATGTGAAAGCAGTTTCCATCATGCCTCAAATTACGTAGATGGGGACGAAATAAAGAGTCAATAAAACCAACTCTTAAATAATGCATCAAATAAGTAAATTTAGAACTAGGCAAAATATGAGACTGTTGTATGGGTGCATAACGTTTAATTTTGTGACCAACCTAGCTTATCTTATGTGTAAAGACAATAATTTCCTGACTTACACCAGTTAAAATAAAGAAGAAACATTAAAATAAGATAAAAAAAAGACACATGGTCACCTTCCCATGATGGGCTCCGCCAAAAATAACCAAAGAGGAAAAGTCAAAAGGCACGCTAAAAGATGTGTGGATCATCAACAACTTTAAAAGATCAAGATGCACAAAAAGAAGCTATTTATGTACAGATCAACTCTATCACCATAGCAGATAATACAATCATTACGGAATGATGGGTTAATTCCAAATTATAAATCAACAACTGAAAATGAAACATAATCACAGTATTACATGGCTAATTAATCAGCAAAAGAAATGACAAAAATTCAAGAACCGGGATGTAAGTGGGACCTTCTCGGTAGCACTGGCTGAGGCCTGAAGCTGACTACTTCTCTCCTCTAACCTTGTCTGCAATCTAAAAATCTCCTCTTCCATGTTCCTTGCCTCTCTTTCTGCTTCCTGATTTTTTTTTTTTTTTTTAAAGCGTAAACAAGTCTATTTGTAAGCAAATTCCAGTTGAACCCACAAGCAAAGACCCATAAAGAAAGAAATGATTCAATTGAAAATTGAAAGTTTAACACAAAAAAACACAAAAAGAAGGGCATCATCAGCAATCACGTGCCTGTCTTGCTAGGGTTTCTTCAGCAAATGACTGCTCTTGCGATGCCAAACGGCTCCTAACCTCCCTCAACTCCGCCGCTAGCGACACCACGTTACGCCGAAAACTTTGTTTCTTCTCATTCAAATCCTTCAACAATGGATCAAAATCCCTTGGCAGAATGGGTGGGGATGACGATGAGCCGGTTGATTGCTCAGAAACTGACATCAGGGATAGAAGCTCTTGATCCAACGGTGAGTATGGCGTTGTTGTTAAAGATATGATAGTGAATGCATCCACAGGACAGAATCAAGACCCTTGAAGAAAAAAAAAAAAACTAGTGACTTAGGGGCAGGGTCTTACTACTTGTTTGCAGCAAATGTCTAAATGAAAGGCATTGCCCTGTGATATCTGCATGTGAACATGATGGTTGTGCATTTAATTTAAGTGGAGCACAAGCAACTATTGTAATATATAATAATAGTAATAACACTCACAAGATTAAAAAAAAAAAAATTTGAGAGAGAGGGGAGTTAAGTGCAAAGAGCGGTTCCAAAGTTTGATTTCAAAGTCGAAAATTTTTAAGCAATAAAATGGTTTTGACCAAAATAGAATTTTAGTAGGGAAAAGAAATCTGGTCCAAGACGAGAAGCGAAGAGAAGAGAAGCGTATATGTACTTATCATTTATGGCAGCTAATGGAGTCGTAGAGGTGTTATATACCACGACCATGTATAAGTCTTGTAGTATTATGAAGACGAGAAAGAAAGAGAGATGCTTCCTCCAGAGGGCAAAAGAGAGAGAGAGAGAGAGAGAGAGAGAGAGAGAGAGAGAGAGAGAGACAGCTTTTACAATTTGAAAAATGGGAAAACAATCAAATTCATATTTGAAAATGGAAAATTTTTCTGCGGAAAGTAGAAACCCTTTGATTTCCAGTTCAGACAGAATAAAACAGAAAGATGAAACGCCTTACTCACAAGTCGCAACTCGAAAAGAGAGAAAAGCCAAGACAAACAAAAAAAGAAACGATTTTGGCTTTTACAAAACAAATCTGCTCGTGAGAGAGAGAGAGGGAGAATCATGATAAGAGGGAGAGAAAGAGAGTTACCACTTAACAATACCAATAAACCATAATAGCAGCTTCTCTGCTCGCTCCAAAGCTGTCTCAGAGCAAAGCAGAGCAGAAATGAGTTTTTTGTCCTTGGTTTCTTTGAATCTCAAATTGTCAATCAAGGTTAAGCTTGTCCTTGTGCTTTGTGGATTTTGTTTGAGTAGTGATCAGATGGCGGTGATGGTGCAAGAGATAGGATCAGACGGTCAAAAATGGAATCAGAGTAAGATTAGACGGCGGGCGATACTAATTAATTAATGCTTTGTATTACTAGATTGATTTCTTTCTTTCTTTACTTCTTGTTTGGTAATGTTAACGAAAATGGCGTACTTTACATAATTATTTGTCGTTTTGGAGGATTATATTATATTAGTCTATCGCTATTCCTTGTGTTTGAAGCGACATCTCCTCGCACATCCACCAGTCAGAGAGAGAGAAAGAGAGAGAGGGTGCATGTTTATTGTTATGTGTTATGTCGTGTGTAACAGAGAGAGGGAGAGATTAGGTTCGGTTACGAGGTTTATTATGTCGTCGCACATCCCACACAGAGGAGAGAGAAAGTGCTTGTTTCCGAACCTGGGGTTTACGTTGATCATGACAAAATCCCAAGCGGTCTTTCGTTGTGGATTCCCTTTGGCCTTTTCCCTTATCCGGTTTGGGATTCTGAGTTTAGAATTGACATTTTGACTCCAGCCTCGCCACTTTGGCTAATGGGAATCTTGCCGCGTGGACCTTCTGAGTCTCTAGGGGATAGTGGCCTGGCCTGGTCCATTGCTTGGTTCTGGTACGTTGGGCTTAGCTTCCTCATTGCTTGATGGATTGTGATGGCCCAATGGCAGGGATGCAAAATGGTGAGCAATAATTATACGAGTAAAGATAATTCAACCACCCCTGTAAACCGTAAAGCGTATCTTAACTCTTTACCATTCACATGAAAGTGAGAAAATGGATCAACTTCAAACCTAGGAAAATTCAGTTTCTCTCTATACCTGATAGCTCCTTTGTTGCATCAATAATCAGGTCAGTCTCCTTCTCTTTCTTTCTTTCCCCTTCTTGTTTGACTGTTTATATGTACCTCCGAATCCAATGCTTCTAAAGTTCTCAACTCTAAAATTTTCCAACAAACTCCCTCCGTGCCTCGATTTACCTGGGCGCTACTTCTCCATTGCTTACGCCAATACTCTCCAACTGAAGCCCGAAACCGATCCCACCCCTCCATATCTTGACGATTTTGAAGCAAAGATTAGGTTTTTGACGAATAATCTATACCCAGATAACTTAATCAGGGTTTTGGATAATACACACGATATGAACTCAGCTGTCAAGATTTTCAAATGGGCTGCCCTACAGAAACGCTTTAACCACACCGCTGATACCTATTACCATGTCATTTTGAAACTGGGTTTGGCTGGAAATATCAAGGAAATGGACCATTTGTGCCTAAATTTGGCAAGAGATAAATGTGTAGGTACGGAGGAGGGTCTTGCTTCTTTGATTGATTCATTTGTTAGACATTCTAAGCTAAATGAGGCAATTCGGGTTGTTGTGAATATGACATTAGGTGGGTATAATCCCTCTATTAATATATTTAATGATTTATTGGGTGCTCTTGTTAAAGAGAAAAAAGATTTCCAACATGTGTTGTTTGTTTATAAGGAGATGGTGAAAGTAGGAGTTCTACCCACCGTTGATACTTTGAACTCTTTGTTGGAGGTTTTGTTTGAGACAAATAGGGTTGAGGCAGGCTTGGATCAGTTTAGGAGAATGAGAAAGAAGGGCTGTAGTCCTAATGTTAGGACCTTTGAGATTGTTATAAAAGGTCTTATTTTGAATAGTAGAGTTGATGATGCAGTGCTTATTTTGCATGAAATGTTGGAGATAGGGTGTCAGCCAGATCTAAGTTTCTTTACCTGCACCCTGCCATTGTTTTGTCAAGAGAACAGACTGGAAGACGGAGTTCATCTATTTAGGCTGATGAGAGCATTAAATTTAGTGCCAGATTCACTAATTTGCAGAAATTTGATTCGTTGTTTATGTATGAACCTTCTTTTAGATGATGCAAGTGACATTCTTGAAGAGATGATAGAAATTGGTGAGATTCCTCCTGTTGATTCATTTGTGGACATAGTTAATGGATTTTGTGAAGGGAATAGATATAGTGAGGCAATACATTTCTTGGAGAATAACTGTGGTAACTTAAGTTCTCCACATAAAGCACTGCTTGGAGGTTTCTGTAAGACTGGTAAATTTTTTCTGGGAAAAAGTCTTCTTGAGAAGATGTCTGAGAGAGGCATAGCTGATTGTGATTCTTGGAATATTTTTATCAGATGGATTTGTGAGAATATGGGCATCGATAAAGCTTATGAGCTTCTTGGAAGAATGATTGTACAGTCAGTAGTTCCTGATTGTGGCACATATGCAGCTCTTGTGGTAGGTACTTGTAAATTGAACAAGTATGAGGATGCTTTAGAGCTATTTTATTACACTCATTCCAAATTATGGGTTTTGGACCCTATATGTTATTCTAGGCTAGTTGAAGGCCTTTGCAGGGTAGAAAAGATTAAAGAGGCTGTTGAAGTATACTATAACATGTCTAAAAGTGGATGCCTCCTTGAAGTCACCACATTCAATATGTTGATCAAGGCTCTATGTGATGTCAGAAAGGTGGATGCAGCAGTCAAGCTGAGATCATTGGCTTATTGTTCTGGCACTTCTTGCACTAGTTTGACTTACACCACTATCATGCTTGCCTTGCTTAAATCAGAAAGAGCTAAAGATGTCTTGGTAATGCTTTCCCAAATGCTGATATGGGGTTGTACTGTTAATTTAGAAGCATATTGCATCCTCATACGAAGTATGAGTGCCCTGAATCGATTTAGGTATTGTGCACTATTTTTCAAGTTAATGCTTAATGAAGGTCTGCTGCCTGATTCGGAGACAATGCATGATCTTTTATATTGTTTAAGTAACCATTTTCAGTTACATTTGGTATTAACAGATATTGATAAAATTATTTCTAGAAGGGAAATTCTGGATTCGGCCATATTTAATCTTCTGATTAATGGCCTCTGGAAAGAAGGTTGCAAGAGTGAGGCTCGTCTTTTGTTAGATTTGATGTTGGAAAGGGGTTGGGTTCCAAATGCTACAACTCATACATTGTTGATTGGATCCAATGTCAATAAGGTAACAAGCAGGGGAACGTCAATTTATGAAAATTCAATGGAGCAAGATAATGTTAGCAACATTCTTGCTGAGGGATTGGGGAAGTGATAAAAAGCTTGATTTTCAATATGGTTTTCTGATCGGGCCATGCATCCATTTTTTGGTGGTACATTCTGTCCCTATTGTAAAATTGCAGGTCATGCCCTGATTCTTACCCCCAGGAAGATCAAAACTAAATCATGACCTAGTTTCTGGCTCTGGTAGGCACTGTGTGATGCATTTGTCTTCCATGGCATTAGAATTGTGGTCATGCCAGGTTAGTATGTTTTTTCTTAATTTGTCTTCCAATCTGTAAGACACTATAATGTCCTTGTGCATGTCAAATAAACATACATATGCCAAAATATTCAGAACTAGTACTTTGTGTGTGCATGGTTGGGAGGGGACTGGTAACTATACTCATCCTGTTTTTACTTCGAAACAATACGTTTAATATTTCTTTTAGATATTGCATATCAGCAAGGATAGAATTCTGGGATTTGAAGTCCAGATACCATAAGAGATCATTTAGTTGATCAAGATGAGCATGGACGTATTTGGGGAAAAACGTAAAACCAGGATTTTGTAGAAAGCTAGTCAAATTATTGAAGAATGCAAGCCTTCACTTCTCGAACTGCTGGAAAGTTAACCTCATTCCTTTCTCCTTTGCAGGTGATGACTTCTATTTTGACATGGTAATGGATCCATCTGATATCAACTGGAACATTAACTACTGAAAAGAGGCACTGTCCAATTTCCAACGCTGAAATGGTAGCAGCCTCAAAAACCATGAGAGATCTCTGGTGAATGATATAACCCTCAGAATACCATGACTACTTTGGCTATATATGATTGATTGGTTCCACTACTGTATGAAGCTGGACGGAAATTCTTCCCAGCTCCTCTTTCTTTCCCAAAGTTACGAGGGATATAATTTGCCGGGTAAAAGACTACTACTAACGAAGCTGAGAGCAAAATTGAGAAATTGCAGAGCTGATTGGGCTGGGACTGCCGTCCATATGTGCACAATAGCCCCTTTTGTCCGGGGTTCTGCCCCATTTATAATCCCCTTTCGGTATAGGGGACCGCAACCACCAATACTGCTGGCTGCTAATACAGATATTGCCATTGCCAAGCACTCTTATCTGAAGGTTTTGTTTTGTTTTGTTTGTATTTTTTTTGTTATTTTTTTGTTTTTCAAGAGGGAAACGAAGTTCAATTGAGTGCTACAGCCAGATAAGAAAGTAAACATAAGTAGTAAATTTATGGAGAACTAGCTTGGGATTTGGCATGAGACGAGTAATGTAAAATTGCATACATACTCTGTATTGAGTTCAGTTACTTAGTAGTATCTCAAACGGTTTCAAAATTCAATAAATCAATGCCCAGAAGGATCCCGTCTATGAAGAATTAACAGAGCACTTGAATAGAAACAAACTTCACAGATTTGAACGATTGGAAGCGACAATCAGCTGAAGAGAGGGGCCGAATCAGGAAAGAAAAGGAAAGAACTAAAGAAACTGTGTAAAAAGACTTAAGCAGCATATTACAGCACAAATGTTACGTGGTCTCAACCGAAAATGTTTACATGATTAAAGAATTGAAAAGTACTATTACTTCTACTTAGCAAAAACAGATTTCTTGAAGATTAAATCAAACTCAGTCTCACCCATACCACGAATATCTGTATGCAGTGGATCCCTATTTATCACAAGGATGAAAGAGACAATCATATGGTAACAATGCAAGTGACAAAGATAACTCTCAGCGTCAACAGTACATCAACCCATCTGCAAACCACCAGTTGTCGCTTATCGAAGTTTCGGCTGCGAACATGTAATGCAAGTATAGTAAAAGAAATCAAATTCAATGTACAGCCTCTGTTTCAAGCTTGAAGCATCCAGGAAAAAAAACCTCAATTGAGTTTAGAATCAATATCCTCGACCTTAACAAGACTATCTTCTATATGGCGCATAAGATCAACATCTATATCTCCATCACCATCAGCCTTGTCTATGTGCAAGTCCTCAACCTTGGCAAGATAGGCATCCGAGAACTCCGCGGAGACATTATTCTCATGCTCCTTCTTTCTGGCCATGTCCTTGCTAGTAACAAGGAGTAGATTTTCGAGGGCCTCCCTTGCCCGCTTTCTTGCAAGCGCCGCCTCCCTTACCTTCCTGTCAGCCTCGGCCCAGGCTACAGTGACGGCCTTCCCCATGGAGGAGGCGGCAATCTTGGCGGCACAGAGCAAAGCTAGAGCGAGCTTCTTGTCAACCTTATTGTCACTGAGAGGAAAAAAACAGAAAGAGGAGTCCTTGCAGGGCGGGCAGAGGTAAGAGGAGAGTAAGGTGTCTCCGGCGCAGTGAGAGTGGGTGAAGGAGGAGCAGTTGGAGCAGGCGACACGCCTGGAGGGATGGGGAGGGGAGCCGGAATAGAAGGTGAAGCAGGCGGGGCAGAAGGAAGAGGGGTGGAGGCGAAGGACACAGGAGGTGCAGAGGCGGCGCAGGATGCCCAGAAGACGAACTTGGTGGAGAAAGTGGGCAGCTTGGGCACCGCAGTTGCCGCATTCTTTGGATGGAAATGGATTGCTTAGGGTTTGGTTGCTGAGTTTGGAGGTGGTGGAAAGGTTCATGCTCATATTACCATTCCTACTACTATTACTAGTACTCATACTCGTAGCCATGGCCTATTTACTTCTTCAGCCCTCCTCCGCCTCTGGGGTTTTAGTTTTACACCATTTCGTCTTTTCTTTGCTACTGCATATTTAGGGTTTATGTTTTTGACTTCTAAAAAGGTCTTATATACATATTCATTTTTTTTTTAATGAATATATATACATATTCTTAGTTTTAGTATTATCTTGATATAGTCATGTACTAATTTCATATTATATTTTATTATTATTATACTATAATAATATTCCATGATCTTCATGTACCATTATTATATTTTTATTATCTAAAATTTTTTGTATTTTAAATTTTAATTATTTCCAAATCGAATAGAACTCTAATTTTATAAAAGGAATAAGCTTTTTTAATTTAAATTTTATTAATAAAATTTGAAATCTTACTTATAAAAAATTAAATTTTTTACCAATCAAATCTTTTTAATTTATTTTCAATTTAAAACTTTAAAATCTCGCTTTTTTTTTTTTTTTTTTTACTTTACTTTACAACAAATTATCTTCTATAATCTTGGCCCAAAAGAAAAACCCTTTCTTCCACAGTTAAAAACCCTTTCCCTCTTTAACGAATCGAGCCAATTGCAAACCCCTTTTTGGTTGACAATTCCCACCATCCATCATCCCTGTCACTTCCATTCTTTTCTTTTAAACGGCAAAACGGAAAGCAAAATCTAAAACAGATATACAGGTGCTTGTGATTGAAGGACACGAGAAACTGACTTAACTAGCGTCTTGTTTCTTATTTCCCACCATTCCAGATTTATATACATTTTCCTCTTTTGGTATTTCTTTAGGACTAAACTACCGCAGTCATACTCATATAACACTCCGCAAGTATACGGCTCTGAACCCCACTCCACCTTCTTTGATTTTCGGTCGTCAACATGATCTACCTGTTTCTCGTGTATTAGCATTTCAAAAAGCAGGTATCAAAATGAAGCATTTACCGTGCTAAATCCAGATGCCATCTTATCCAAATATCAACCTACCAACAATCTTCCACCATTGTTGAGCTTAGCATATCCCAACTCACACTGTACTTGGCTTGCCCAAATGGAAAAGGAACATAAATTCACAACTTAAAACTGATGGATGGAAAACCTAATCACTCTCTTCCTGATTTTCCACCAACGAATTTTGATCCAAGTCGATGGTAATATTCAGCTTCCATCAAGCGTCGTAGAAATAGCTAGTTTAACAAAACCTTTAACTAGGGACTAACTAGAGTTAGAAGTATACCTAAGTAAAGAATTGTTGACACAGAAGAACTACCATTAGATACATCAGCTACCATCGGCCCATCGCTCTCGTTATTAATAAATATTAACACCACAGCTCCCACTGTGTCTTTCAACTACTTCAAAAGAGTTGTTAGATGTACAGAATCTGATGCACTTGATCCTTAATGTGATCCCCATACAAAACATTTAAGAGGACTAGTTAGTTGAATGGCAACAGCAACGGACCTGGAAAAAAATGGACCTAGCTAAAAGGTAATTTTTCATTTCATTATCAAAGGCTATCAGCATCCACAGAATTCTGCAAACACATCAAAAATATTCCAAGGTATACACTTGACAGCAATATGTGGAAAGGAAAGCCTTGTATAGATACAGATAAGTGAAAACTGCAGATGATCTGCCAACTGTAAATGGAAACCCAACAAAAAACTTATAGTTTCCAGTGCAGCACAGAGATAAGCATGTCTCATACAAACAGTAGGATACACTTGTGGAAGCTGCATGTACAGATGCACATAAAACGCCATACAACAAGCTTGCTATAAAAAATGGGCTCTCTGCATGAAAACCAGTCTTAAATCCAATATGCAATGGAATAATGTCATGCCACTAAATTTTGATGTATTTCAGTGAAAAATGGTGCAAACTTTAAATGATAAAAAGCTAATTCTTACACTGTCCCAACACTCTACAAGAGCTCTTTGCAAGTGGACTTGTTGTGCCCAAGACCCTTGCATCTACTGCACTGGAGTCGCCACTTCATTACCTCTTGTGATCCAACTTTCTTTGTGGTAGGCCGAACTGGTGGATGACATATTGGTGGAGTTACAGTCACTAGTGCTTGTGAAGAATATTTCTGTGGAGGCCTGTCCACAACTGGAATAGGTTGTATAGACTCTGCATATGTTAATCTGTAGCTCTCAGTTGTAAAGTATCTGGAGCAATAATCATATGGGCTTCATCCAATGCAACTCATAACAGCAATGGCATGGCAGCATGGTAAACCAGTAAGTTGCCAATCTTTACAACTACAATCCCAACGATCCATGTCAACCACTTCAATGGACTCACCACGAACCTCAAATATGCTACCAGTAGTCAGTAGCACTTGAAGGGTATGGACTTTCAAGCTTTCCTTTTCCAGCTTTTCTTCCATGGATGGAGTCAGCCTTGTTAACCTCTGATCAGAATCAGCCCTAAGGTTATAAATTAACTCCATGTTCTTTCCCTGTATGACATTAACCGTCTGTGTTATAGGTAGTTCGTGAGCATCTGATGCCCAGCTGTAAAAGAGTTCCCCAAAGTTTGATGTCATATGGTTGTATCTAGCACCCTGGAAAAATGAATTTGCCCAGTTCTAGGGCTCACTTTGTATGATCCAATTATAAGCTTCCAGCGAAATACTTTTCATGCTCTCAAAACTCCTCTGAAAGCCTTCAGGTCTAAGTGCAAAAGCTGCAGCATATAGGTCTTCAATCATAAGCTGTTTCACCTCATGAGAAAACTGCCCTTTCAAGTCTCTAATGAGTTGCTCAGTTAAGTAGCACAGACAATAACCATGATACGACCCCTTGAAAGTTTCAGAGATTGACTCCCGGAAACCCTTCTGTCTGTCTGCAATAAATGTTATAGGACAAGATGTTGACAGAGCTGATTTCAGTTGTAACAAAAACCAATGCCAGTTATCATTGGTTTCTGCATCCACAACAGAAAAAGCAACAGGAAATACACCGTCATCTCCATCTGCAGCAGTTGCTGCCAACAACATGCCTTGATATTTGGACTTCAAGATTAAGCTATCAAGAAAAAGGAGACACCTGCAACCTTGTACAAAACTGCACACAGAGGCACGGAATGAGATAAAGAGGCGATGGAAACTTGAGTCTTCCTTAGTGGTGAAGCTAACAGACTGCCAGGATTGGTCTCCATTATCCTTTCACAGAAAAATGGTAATTGACTATATGCCTCCTTACACAACCCTTGAAGCTGCTCCTTGGCAATTTCTTTCCCCCAGCAGGCCTGAAAGTAGTTCAGTTCTATCCCATATTCTTGTTTAATGTCATTTACAATATCCTTTGGTTTGTAATTTGGAAAAAGTTTCAACTTCGCCTTAATTATACTAGCTACTCAACTCCAAGTTGCCTGATGCCCAGTTGTCACAACAGCCCCATCACAAGTATGGGTTGGAGTCATCCTCTTGATACATATTAGCTGAGTGGTCGATAACCTTGACGCATGAATTCTCCAAGGGCAGCCTTCTGCTTTGCACTTAACAGTCACACGATGACTATCATTTTTTTTATACCTAAATGCAAATTGATGTGCAATGGCATATTTATGTAATGTCTCACGAAACTCGTGAACACCACTGAATCTTTGCCGCAGCACTGTAATTGTATTCTGCCACTGCTGAGCACCTTTAGCATGCTTCTCATTGGCAGAAACAGCAAGAGGAAGAATAGACGAAATCTCAGGTGGCAAATCAATTTGTGCATCAATATGATTAACGTCATCAACAATGTCAAAAGAGACCCTAAGAGGAAGACTGGGTCGAGTGATGTCATCCACAATGTTGTCCACAGCATCTAGAGGTTCATCAACTGAAGGCACTGCTTTAGACAAAGTTGTCTTACTTGACCTGTAATAAAATTAAAAAAAGAAAAACCCTCAAAATTAAGTCAATAACTCAGGAATTACAACTAAGCTTTAGCTTAGAAAGAAAACTACCTACTGGCTGGCATGTTAGAAACATCAGGAGCAACAATTTCTTCCATTATGATATAAACATCAGGAGTTACAAAATCCCCATGAAATTTGATCATCCGCTTTAAGTCCTTGTCATTGGAGACAGTAATGAGAGTCTTTTTATTACCAGGGAGGAAATATTTGATAGACATAGTATTAATGCTACAACTAAACATTTCTGCTACGACTTTCCCCTCTTAGCCTAATGGTTAAGAGGCCGGTTGAAAGTCATCTTGGCGTGAGTTCTACCCCGCCATCCCCCCTCCCCCCTTGTAAGGGCACTAGCCCTCCTTTGCAACAAAAAAAACATTCTGCTACTTCCAGCTTTAAGTCATTGAACTGCATTTGATCATAAATGTCTATTGCATGAGCATCACTGCATCACCTCCTCTATATGAGAACAAGCCATCCTTGTCAGTCTCAAATTCACCACCAGATTGACAAATTACTATGATCTTTTTTGAAGCCATAACCTGCCAATCATTTGAGAATTAAAAACTGCTTCAGGGATAATTCATATACAACAATCAAGTCGAGCATTGGGCCAAAAATCTTTCCACTTTTTATTTTTAATAAGAAATACATACTTATTAAGTCCAAAATATAAAAAGCCGGAATTGTTCTTTTTTTAAAACAAAAAAGGTAGGAATATTTTGATGCATAAAGGAACGAAGAAACTCTAACCAAAACAAAGATAAGCAATTATTGGGAAAAGTTGGAAAGCGCCTACCTTGAATTGTGAGGAATTTGAGTGTAAATGGAAGGGGTGGATTATGATTCCCCAAATCCCTAATATTGGGGCTTTTTTTTTTTTTTTTTTTTTTGAGGGTGGGGTAAATTTAAATCAATTTGGGACTGTCCCGACAACAAACAGACAAAAATCGCAGGGGCCGAGAGAGAGAGAGTGAGGGTAAAAGGTAAATTCAGAAGTATAAACGTTGGTTAGTGGCTAACTTTTATTGTTGCTGGGCTGGATTAGATTTTGGATTCTTCGTAGTGTTAGAGGTAGATTAATCTACGATACCTGTCGATCCGATATATTTACAAACCTTGCTTTCAAAACCAGGGTGAGGGGGCATGGTAGGTTTTCCAAAGAGTTCCAGCCCAGGGTGACTGATTATATTTGTTGCAATTGGTACGTTACACTGCAGTTTGTCAACAAAATGAAAACATAGTTTATACATCAAGCCTACAATTAGCCCACAACTTATTCAATCCATATGCAAATGCAAATGAAAGCAGATACATTGGTTAACTAGCATAGATTCCAACGTCTACTCCAGGGCTCTGCCGTATTTGCCTCCTCTTCAACATTCCACTCTGATTTTTTCTATTACGTCTTATGTCACATTGGTTATCCTTCTCTCTCTCTCTCTCTCTCTCTCTCTCTTGGTAATCAGAAAGAACAAGGAATGGAGGATAAGTGGGTGTTTTACCTCTAAAAATAAGAGCAGTATGCTATTCTTCTTTTATTGCTTAATGCTACTTGGTCAGTTGCATCTAATGAGTTGTTTCGTTTTCCTCTTTTTTTTGGGACAATATGAGGCGGTCTTTTTTTGTCTTGTTTGTTTTGCATCCTTTTTACATCAATAAAAGCATACGATGTTGAAATTAGTCCTTAAAAACATGTACAAAAATGCTCCTTACGGCCCAACCAACACACATGTTTATCTCCTTAACCAATTTAGAGATATCTAAGATAAGCAAACACTAAACTCAGCAGCTACAAAGCATGTCTGTCTCTCTTTGACATTTCTTTCTGGCAATTATGGAATATCATGGTACCGAAACCATGAAAGGAGGCGATCCAAGCCATGTTGATGACCGTGGCTCTTATTCAATCCAAATTCCAATAGCACGCATTGTTCAGCTGCACACAAGTTGAGCATTACATGTCAACAAAACAACTAAATAAGCAATTGAGTCTGGTTCATAGCTTATAGCATTAAATATTTTTTCAGATATAAGGATTCCCATGTTCCATGAATTAGGCAAGAACATAAATATATAGATGTCTAACCTACTCAGTTACCAAAATAAATAAAGCATTCTTCCTTGGATTTAACTGCATATACACACTGTTTCTTTTGCAAGAAGCCTTTACCATGCATAGAGACATTTGCTTTTTATGCCCAAGTTTAAGAGGTTCCACTACACCAAGGGTATAAAGGATTTGAATTTTATAAATGTAATTATTTCCCAAGTTTAAGACTTAAGAGGTTCCGCTCCACTACAACCAATTATATCACCAACAGATGGTTTTTTACAGAATAATTAATGTCACCGAACACCACCACCATCCATGTCTGGAATGCAGCTACATAGCTGATTTAATTGGCAATTGAACTTTGTTGATTTCAATTTTCAACCAAGGGATCATTACATTACTCCGAAAGGTGTATCTGATGGTTTGGCTTTGGCAGCCATACATATGTCTATTTAAGTATGCAAACTCTTTTTCTCCTAATGCTATATGCTAACTCTTTTTCTCCTAATGCTATTAAAAAAAAATGTATCACCCTCTCTAAATGCATTCCGCGGTTAAAAAACCTATGGCTTTGCTCAGTACAATATAACTACAGGTAAAATTCACTTTTTTTTTTTTTTTGAAGTAAAATTCACTTTAAAATCTATTAGCAAGAAAATTCAGCAGGGCCTTAGATATAATATGGTCAAAGCAAAGTGAACACAAGACAAAAGCATGGACAATAAAGTACTCAATTCATGATTCATAAATAAAGGCAACCGAAGACAAGAAATGACTAACAGCTTATCTTCTAAAAGATGTTTTCTTTTAGTTGTAAACAGTTAGGAGTTAAGCACCTAAACATTCGAAAAGCAAGATGCAGGGTCGAAATGCTCTTCAATATCCAAGGAGGAAAATTTGGGCATTTTTCATAGGTTTAAACTATATATTAGCTAAATATAAGAAAGATGCAGTACTTGAAAAAAGAGCGAAAAAGGGGGAAAAAAATCACAATTTAGTGCAATATTTAACAGGCAAAATTTAATCACACATTTAATCATAAACCAATAGCCAAAAGAAGAGCTCAATGAATGAAAACAGCAGCACAAACCTTATCAATTGGGAAGAGATGCACAAGTGAATGCATTGTGAACAAGTTGATTTGTTGCATCCCTAAACTTGTAATAATCGTCAACCTTGTTGTAAACTTGATAAGAAATTCGAGCATACCCTGTTACTGGACCAACCTCACCATCCTTTGGTGCTCGATAATATATTGGAACTTCAACACTAAACTTGTCCCTTAAATATGTTCGTAATTTCAGCGTGTCTTGATCACTAGAAATTCCCAAACAAGCAGGTAAACCGACCATAACCATGCTTGAACACATCTCTGGAGGACAGCCAAGATGAGTTCCCCATGCTTTGACCAACATCTCCCCCATCTCAACAACAGCCTCATGGTTCCTTTTCTTGATTCCATCAATGCCGCCTTCAAACCTATTGATAAATTCCAAAACCTTCGGAACCACCAACTGGGCACTATAATCCCTAGTCCCAATCCAAGCACTTTCTATAGCCAATCCATTCCCATACTCATGGGAAACCACAGGATGATGCAAATCAGAGCTTTCTGTGGACCTTCTACAATACAAGAAGGCGACAGAAGGTGGGCAAAAGAACCATTTATGCAAATTACTAGTGTAAAAGTCAGCCCCAATTTGTTTCATATCAACGTCAACACACCCAATTCCATGAGCAGCATCAACAAAGATCTGGTCAACCCCTTCCTCCCTACAAATCCTAACCAATTCTTTAACGGGAATGACCACACTAGGCATGGAAGTAACATGATCGATGACAGCTAATCTCACCCTCCTGCCGTTTTGTTTCCCTCTCATTAAAGCCTCCCTAAACTCTTGCACTATCTCAACAACAGAGTTAACAGGGAAAGGCAAAGGGACCTCAATCACATACCCGCCAGCGCGTGTGACATAAGCTTCAACGGACTTCTTGACAGCCCCATAAGCGTAGTGAAGCATGACAGCGGCATCGCCAGGGTGGAACCTCCCCTCAGCGAACCCCCAAGCGATCTGCTGCAGCACAATGGCGGCGGCGGTGGTGGCGTTGTCAACAATGGAAACCTCATCAACATGATCTGCGTTGACCATCTCCTTGATAATGTTTCTGGATTGGAGGATTCTGGACTGGAGCTGGTTGAAGTAGAAGTGGTCAGGCTGTTGGAGCCACTGGAGTTGGAGGTGCTGCTGGGCAGAAAGAACAGAAGAAGGGCAGCAGCCGAAGCTGCCGTTGTTGATGCGGGCGATGGAAGGGTCGTGGTGGGAGAACTCAGAGAGGATATCGGAGGGAGTGATTAACAAGGGTGGAGTAGGGGCATGCAATCTGGGTTTCTTGGAAAGCTGTGATTTTGGGTCAGCTGCAGAGGCAGAAGTGCCGTTCATGGCGCTGGTATTTGAATTGGTTTGAGTATGGAGAGGAGAGGCCATGGAAAGGAGAAATGACGAGAGGAAGAAGGGGAAAGTATTAAGGAAGAGAGAGAAAAAAAAGGGTTAAGTGACACTTGTAACTCTGTTAGTTCAAAAGAGTAAAAAACAAACAAAGTACTGTCGCAACTTTACTTTATGAGATTATTGTTATGTGGATGTGGCGCAATATCAGACAGCACTGACTGCTTACCGCATAAAATTTACATTCAATACTTTGGTGAAGTTCATTAAATTTTTTTAAATAATTTAATAAAAATTTTAAATTAACAAATTCATAAAATTTGATATAAAAATCAATAATATATAAAAATATTATGAAAAATATTGTTCATAATTTTTTATAACTTATTTTCTGTTAAAAGGAAAAAAATTTAATAACTAATAAATTATATTAAAACAAAAATAAAAATATATTATTTTAAATTTAATAGTTTATAAAATATATCTAAAATATAAAAAAATTTAAGATAATAACATCTTTGATCTTTAAACTTTAAATCAAGTTTTATTTTAGTCCTTTCTACAATGTAAGATGTTAAGTTGACCTCTTCCACATGACACCAACTAATATTTACTGACAATTTAAGCAATTTCATAATCAGAAAGACCAAATTTAAATAACTTTAGGCAACTGATAATTCAATTAAAATTTTTTAAAGACTATGGACCTAAATAAATAAAATTTAGGTCAAAGTTTAATATCCACAGTGATTTTAACTCGTAATTTATATCTTTTGTTCCACAAATAGAACTATTAGAACATACTTCACAGAACTTTTAATAGATAACTGAAAATACTGAATATTTCAAATTGTGCCACCATTGTCATAACCATCTTAATTACATAAGATAAGTGAGATACATAGCTAACTTTTGCTATTCATCATCACTGTCGTTTCCAAAACCTGATTGAACAGCCACTTTTGGTTTCTTTGCTGTACTGGCAAATGCATTCTGCAAAATGAGGGGAGAAAGTTGAGAAGCTTGCTCCAAGCATAGTCATCAGTCCAACAACTTTAAATTGGCAGCAGATTGAAGATTCAAATTTCCAGGTGGTTGTTCATTAGAATGCTATCCTTTAAGTAATTCTGGTCGCAAGCAACATCAGAAATACCAGAAAAATTAAATTCCCTGATAGGCAGATACATTTCCTATATATCACATGGATATTTTGAATTTACACCCGGCTTAGGAAAAAAGGGCTACATTAAGTCAATCCTGTATTAGTATTCAACAATAAAACCTAGCACCCAACAAAATATACGTTTTTATACGCATTCTAATGGAGGCCTAATAAACAGCATGCGGTTTATTGCTAATCTTAATACCTCTCAAGCACACAATAAAGTGTTATCCTATAATTGCATACCTTAGAGTTGCTGCTTTTAGAAGAAAAACCAAACTTTAGTGCCTTTCGCTGATGCTGATCAGCAAGGGCAGTAGCAGTAATAGGAGCAGAAGCAGTACCAGAACCAGATTCCTCACGTAGCTGCTGCTGCTGGTGTTTACTAGCACCAGCCCTATACCACATTAAAGAATACATAACAATATGACATGGGAAAAGGATAATAACTGATTAGCAGCCTTATAACATGCAGCTCAAATAATAAAGTAGAACAGAAAAATTATTTAAAAAACCATGGGGATAACAAAAGCACAATTAATTGGATACATTTGAGCAAACTTAGCCATCTCTCTTTCCTGACGTTGCTGCTCTCACTTTTGTCTATCATCACGACTGCTATTACCATGCATTTCTCTCATTTCTTTAAAGCGCTGCAAGCAAATAACAAATGATGCAGCATATTAGACAACATTGAAAACCATCCAAAGATCAAAAGAAGAGGTTGAAAAGGGGGAGTGCGTGTGAGACAGAGAGAGAGAGAGAGAATTGAGCCATTTACCTTTCTGTGGTTATGATCATATGAGCTCAGATGGACCTCAAATTCCATAGCCATTTTGTATTGCTTGTTGCAAAGCTCACAATAGAACACCTTATGCATTTCTTTTACCTCCACATGAATTTTCTGCTCACGTTCTGCTAAAACCTGGATTTTCATAATGTGCACGAAGCAGGCAGTAGAAGCCACCAGGTAATAAAAACTGCATGAAATTGACAAGAGCTTCCGAGGTTGATGTTCCCCTATGATATACCATTCTGATCAAAGACAGACATATATGCTATATGCTGCCTTTGGCTATCAGAGGACAGTTTTCACAAAATGTAAAGCATCAACCTCATTATTATCTATCAACTGAAACTTAACATGACTATCTACAAGTTTAACGTCATACCTCTCTCTTCTTTGCATATTCCTCAGTCTCCTCAACCTCAATATCTAGTTTCCTACGCTGAATATTTTCTTCAGCAGTGAAGAAATCATCTTCTTCTTGTTTCCCAATCCCTAATTTTGGATCTCTAATCCCAGATCTTATTGGCTCGGTTATTCCTGTGAGTTAGCGATGAACAAAATAACTTTTAGCAACAGAATAAACAGGCAGTCAGGATTTGGAGTACCCAAAAAAAAAAATTGAAGAAAAGAGTCAACTTATGTCATAACCAAACAAGCTATGTTGCCAACTATTGGAGAATGTTAACCTAGTAATGAAACCTAAGCAGTGTTAACGAATTATTCATATAGTATTTAACCAGTATTATCAGTAAGTTCATGTTAAATTCCAGTTTAACATTATTTATCCCAGAATATGATCCTACTAGTCTTGAAAAAAAAAAATAGAGAACAAATAATAAAGAAAAGAAATGACCCCATAATACAGAAGGAAAATGCAGTAGAATAATAGGAATTTAATACTAACACCACCCCGTTCATCCTTCCCAAGACCCTTTCCTTTCCAACCCATTTTTTGAAGAAGTCTAAACCCAACATTTGAAGAATTCAACCTTGTATCTAACGTTGCTTGTTCCACATTATCCAGAACAACATTCTCTGTTGGCTTGTGATTGATTGGCAAGCGAAAATCTTCAGCAAAATCCTCAATGACAGAATCTTGGTACGCCTATTGCAGAAAGTGCAGATGATACAGCTCAATACATCAACAATCACAAATCTTGCTAACAAAGTAGGTAGATATGTTAAAACAGTAACTTTATCTTTGGATGCAAAGAAATATTGTAGAAATAATCTGATTAAATGTTTTAGACAGAGTTAGATGAGTCAGTTGATTTTCTTGATTATAGCCACCTCTTCACAAAAACAGAGATTGAAGAGATTCATTCTGAAATGGATTGCCTACCTGTTCTTCTTGATGTTGCTGTTTATCTCTCATGTTTGTCTCCTGGGCATTGTTGTATCGCCTGTAGTCCATTTTATACCACCTACAATATGAGGAATTAAAAAAAAAAAAAATAGTTAATCAGTCATGTTATTATTAGTGGGAAGAAGTAGGATTGGAAATCAAAGGTAGAAGACACTGAGAAGTATGAACGTTTGGTCTAGTCCAGTAAACATTTTGTTTAGTTATTAAGAAAACTTTTGCAATGACAAACCATAGTTGTGATTGTGTGATTTGAAGCATATTCAATACAAATAATCATAATAGTGCAATCTGAGGCACATGGTGGGAGAAGAAAACGGAGTTTTTCTGTTTGAGAAAAAAAAAGTTAATAAAAGAAAAAAAGCAACAGTGATGCTGAGCGGCCACAGGAATTGATCTCACATGCACCCAACTACTAGCAACTAATCATATCCATGAAAGAGAACAGAAACAGCTTTTAGGGTGTCAAAAAGCATTCTGGAATTAGGGCTTTCATTAAATTTGATTTCCAGGCTTTCTTTAAGAATCATCATCCACCCACCACACCCCCAAAAGAAAGAGAAGGGGATGAGATAGCATGAAGATTAAGTAGGCTAGCGAATAAGAAAGACAACAATTAGAAATATTTAATTGAGTAATTTGACTAGTTAGAAACGAAAAGGAAAGAGTAGGGATTAGAATTATTATTATTATTATTATTATTATAATCCAATTAGAAGTGAAAAGAAAAAAGAAAAGAGCAATACCAGAGCAGAGAAGCAGCGGTGTTCCTGAGACTCAGATCACAGATCCTCCCTCCCTTTCCCTTCCCTTCCCTTTGTCGTGGGATAACAAAGTAAAAGCATAAATTGATTGGACTTGAGAAGAGGAAAAGAGTTCGAAATTAAAAATATTCCAAACGAAAAAAAAATGTATTGTTCTTAATTAAAATAAATAAAAAAAAAAGACAGTGTAAGCGTATATATGGGCTGCGCTGAATATTGAGTTGGATTAGGCCCAAATAGATGTAGATGAAAAACACTACCCAAATATTACTCCATCCATTAATCCATCCAAAATTCTTTCTTATGGGCATTAAAACCAATCCTACTCCTAATTTCATTCAAACTTCAAACTGGATTACAACTTAAAGGTCGAACCTCCTAGCCAGCTACCACTAACTAACGTCAAAATTAGGCTTCTTAATTAATTTATACTTTCATATGTGTTAGAAGAAATTAATTAATAGCGTTAGTTTCCTTTGCTTATCTGGACCTAACTCATTACTCGTGTTTGATAAGCTTCCAAATTTATATTCCTCCTTAACACATAAAGAAGATGAAACAAATAAATAAATATTAAAAACAATTAAAACTATTCCAAACTCTGTTTGATTATTCAGTTCATATATGTCATAAAAAATAATTAGAAGAATAATTTAGGAAGATATGATTGTACTTGAGCCAAATTCTCATGCATTACAAGCACCACACCACTCCACTTGATGATTCATTCTGCCGACAAGTGACAACCAAACCAATGGTCAGCGTGCAGTTTCGGTCAAGTGGGAATGACAACAAGGTTAACAGTACAACTACTAGTTGTAGGTTATAGGGTTTTTTTTTTTTTTTTTTTTTAAAGCAAGTTGTAGGTTATAGTTATATATATATATATATATATCTGTTATTAATCACTAGATGACATGAGTCATGATAGCATTGAATAATCCTGCAGGCACCAACAACAATTTTGCATATTTAAATTAAAATTTTTATGTTTACTTAATAATTAATAATGCCACATAAATATATTTTAATAATTTTAGAAGGCTACGTGTAATATCCTGGAGGCACCAATTATAATACCAGACCTTTACCAACAACCCAGCAACAGCAAAGGAAGGTGCATACTGCATTCCAAGTTGCCACTGATTTCATTCTCAGCAGAGGAACAAATACAGGCAAACACCCAAGAAATGCGGCAGTGAACTCCCAACCGATGCTTTTTGCTGGTGAGCTCCCAACCGATGCTTTCCATTCCATCCAATCCATACACTTGTCCTCATCATAGCCCTCCTCTATTTTCTTAGATTCTTTTCAGGCCCTATAAAATGGGGCTCGAATCCGCATGAAAATCAAATCCATTGCAGTGGAAACTCATCCTAACTTGCATTTTAGTGTGCTACTACCTACTGCAACAAAAAACACAAGATCATAGCTAGCTATGGGTGGGAACAAGCAGAAAAAATCCTTCTCTTTTTTCAGTTTCTTCAAAGCTAAGAAGGGTCATAAATATCAGGATTATTCCTATTCGGCGGTGGAAGATGTTCAGAGCACAAGAAAGGTGTATCCTAGCGATGAAGACAGTACTCTCAGGGTGGTTGCTGAGCCTGGTATTGACAAGAAAGCTTCCGCTTTCATAGCCAATTTCCATGCAACTCGTGTCTCAGACTCTCAGAAGCAATTCTTCATCACCAGGCAGACTGAAAATGAGGCCGCCCTGATATGAACCCTCTTCTCCTCTACACCACTATAGCTAGATAGTGAGACTGCAAATTGTTTCTTAATTATTACCAGTTGGTTATAGTTTGTGAATGAAATATAAACACATGTTAATTCTTGTATCAGTATAGCTAGAATTGCTTTTGTTCAATCAAGTTTCTATACATGATATTTTCCTTCTATCACACAAAATCCATCCTGAAAGCATTCGACTTTTTACTTCTTACACTAATATTAATTCTACCTATGTATTATACGACACCACATATCAATTTTACTGTTCCTTGTGTTTGGATCTATATTAACAGAAAAGCTAATGTGAAATGCTCATTTAGAGGAGCAAGCATAAACGAAAAGTGAATAGCTTAAGTTGCAGGGGATGGATATATAGGATTCTTGTTTTTAGTTGATTTTGATTTTGGGATAGAATTAATGTCATTTTATCATTAGCTTCAGTAAGTGAACATGATAAATTAAAACGGAGCTCCAAGGGAATAATCAATTCAAGTTAATTTATGAAGACTGAAAACTTATACCTGCTAGCAGCAGCTTCCTAGTTGATGAAAGGGTAATGAATAGTGGAGTTCCTTAAACTTGGAAACTTGAGCAAATTCACAAGGTTTTAATGAAAATATTGGTAATACAGCTGCAAAATCCAAGCTATTTTTCTCAGTTTTCGATTAAGCAAGTAAGCTTTCTTCAGTACAGCATCTGAAAAAATGGTTACCTCCGTCACCTTGTCCTGGATGGAATCTGACAAATCTCCACGAATAGGGGTTATGGCTTGCTCTCGCACACATCTAATAGTGTACGACACGATGTACATATATGAATATGAGTTATCCTCTCATCAGACGTGCTTTAGTTTTAGGTTAACATTTCAGGCATCGCAACTCACGAGTCACAACAATCTTTATGTTTCCTTTCCTTGTCGGCTTCTTTCAAAGACAAATATTCCCCCATAACAATGGCAGAAAGGACAGAGGAGCCTCAAACAACAAACTTTTACTAATAAAATTTGCAAATGCTATATAGTTACAAACAAAATATGGAGTAGCAACATGATTTCATTATGCATTTAGATTAATATATATCATTGGTAGTAACATAAAAGTTGCACCGTACAATAATGAATCCGTCTAGCACTTGAAAACCAATGGCAAGGGTCGCCTTGAAGCCTCCTGAATTCGTTTTAAGAGAATATGCATTTGGCATTTTGTTTTGAACTTGGCCTATACGATGCCCCCATGATTTCCAGAAAAGAATCTTGCTATAACTGAAAATAATTTCTTATTATTTTTTTCTAATATTGCTTTTAAAAAAAAAATACAAGATGCTTTACTAAAGCATAATATGTTGGTTCAGTGCGTTTAATAACGTGTTTAAGATCGTTTAATGAAAATATCTGACGTACTTATTGATTACTGGGCTAGCTTAATATAAGGTATCCGTATGCATATTGCAACCGCAAATGCGTCAAGTATTGTATTGTTGTTAACCTTAGGATCAAGGTTTCTACTTCCCTAGTCTTTGAAACAAAATCAAACAACAGACTAAAGGCATTCATAATTCATGCATATGCTTTTCTTTGCCTCCTTGTACAGCTTTATGGAACGGTGACCATCAAAATTAGTAAAAGTGATTTGCTTTCCTTCAGATCCCTTTGAGACGTTTAACATGATTGATGGTTCATTCATATGCTGCCTTGGACAACTGAACATTTCTTGCACTGTAATGTAAACATTTTAGATTCTTTCACTTCAACTAGTCTACGCTAATCCATCTAAAGTGGAGAATTAGTATCTGGCTTGCTGGCTAAGGAATTAGGCCATCTTCTTATAAGTATCACTTCAACTATTCATAATCTTGCCATATAGTGTTACAAAATACAAAATGAAGTTAGATATATTTATGGTTAAGAGTTTTATGTTATGGCATTTGGATGCGATTAATTAATTTAATCAATTGTATTCAAAATTGGGAAAAGAAAAAGGGGAATTACTTTTTACTTGTTTATGGTCACAGAACTAATGCTTCTTACAGCCATACAAGAAGATCTTCCTATTTTTTGCAAAATTGAACATCTAGCTAAATTTGTTTATAATTAATATTTTTCAAGTAATGTACTAGTTAATAGCTCTCAAGTAATTATAATAATGAGATGGAATTTAGGTCTGAGCTGATTTTATGCTCATAACTACAAAATGAGATGGAATTTTATTATTAAAATTGAACCATATATGATCTCAAAAGCTTTCAAAGTTGATTGATTCTCAAGTAACTGTTGGATCAAGTTGTCTCAAACCTCCTCCATTCAAAAGAGAAACTTTGAGTCTTGAATATTAACTGATTAAGAGACCAGAAAACAAGCCAAGCAATTGGGAATAATTTAGAAAAACATCACTTCTTTTCACTGCTTACCATGAAGGAGGAGATTCATATAATATTTTACCTCTAATCAGTATGAACTCAAAATTTTCAAAGTCAATTGATTCTCTAACTGTTGAATTAATTTATATATATATATATATATATAATTTCATAGCCAATTGATTCTCTGTGTTCAAAAGAAATAATTTGAGAGTAACCAATTAATGGTACACCAATAATTTTCACATACAAATTATGAAAAAAGGTTGATGTTGAAGGTTCAAAGATCACGAAATGCCAAGCAATTGGAGATAAAGTGAGACCTCCCTTCCTTCACTGCTCACCATAAAGCAGAAGATTCATATGTTGAAGTCAAGCACACTATGGTAGGCTTCAAAATTTAGAACCAGAATCCAGTGAAGACCATATTTTTTTACCAGTCTTGTTCCATATAGTTAATTCCTTCCCTACATTTGAATCGGCATCTGCATAATTATTGAACTCTTTTAGACTTTAGTTAGGCACAGTAGATTCTATTTGCAGCTGCTTTTTCTCCTCTAATCAAGTAATTCACTCGGAAGAAGCAAAACCTTTTCTTTTTCTTTTCTCCTATTACCATATCTGAAAAACTTATTTCTATATATCTAGGTACAACTGTCCTTACTAGGCCAAATGAAGAAGAAAGCAAGAGGAAAACCATGAGACAAAACGAATTCCATCTGGAAATTCTAAAATTAATCTTAATTATTTTTCAGTCACCAGTGCAGAAATTATGATTAATTGTAAACACCGTCTCACCATATATTTGGCACACACACTGCCATTCATTTCATACCACTGATCTCCATAATCAGAGCTATTGCCATTTCTTTCAAACCCTGTAACTATCACATTTCAAGGAATGGATTTGTTTGTTGTATATATTGGTTTGTTTTTTTGTGGACTGTGGACTATACTAGATGGTAAGTATTGTATATATTGTATAACTTGGAAATTAATTAAATCAATTGATCAGCATTATCCCTAAGCTTCAATATCTTAATATTTTCAACATTCATATAATTAGGGATATAAACAGAAAATATTTGAATAATGACCAAGAAATGGAACTTGGTTTGTTACATTCTGGGTTTAGTATTAACGATTAAATGGTAACAGTTACATTATGGGCTAGAACTAGATGGTAATTAAATTGCTTTAAATCAATTGATCTGCACCATGATTAAGCTCTGCTATATAAACAGCATCTCGTTAGTAATATCATTAGACAAAATCCTTGAGAAATCCAATAATAATTGTGGTATCATAGTGAGAAAATAGCTCTTGCATTTGGGCTGCTGGTGCTCCAATTAGGATAAAGAAATATTTAAGGACTTGTGGTGATTGTCATACAGTTATGAAGTTTGCTTCAGAAATTTTCAAGAGGGAGATTATTGTAAGGGATGTCAATCGGTTTCACCATTTCAGGAATGGTTTGTGTTCCTGCAGAGACTATTGGTGATTGGCCTTGAATAAGGTTTGTAGTTAGAAACATATCTCGTATTGTTTGACTTTCTCCCAACAAGAAAATTTGTTTTTCTTCCTTCTCTTTCTTCTCGTAGGGTATCATTGTTGGCAACGGGTCGGGGTGGGATGGGACAGCTTTTGCTCACCCGATTTGATTTTTATAATCATAAAATTCGAATCCGAATTTAATTCGATCTGAAAATTTTTTATTATTTTTTATATTCAAATATATCCGATCCGATATTATATAAATCATACCGGATCTGATCTGACCCGAAATTAATAAAATATTATTTTTTAAAGTGTAAAATATTATTTTTTAAATATAAATATATAATTATTGTCATAATGTCTAGATCTAAGAATCTATCGCTAGACATTGACTTGAAGGAATCGTCATCAATCTTTTTTATCTAGGTGTGATTGACCACCTAAAGAATATATTATTATAAGGAACACCTAAGCTTAAGGGTCCCTAAAAAAATAGGTTCAAGTTTACTAACCAGAACAGGGTTTGAGAGTTCGGTTACGTGTGAGGAAGGTTATAGCACCCTCACAACGCCGATAAAAAGATGGTACCAGCTTAATTTTGTGTTATCCAATAAGCCTTAAAAATTTATTAAGTAATTAATTATTGAAAATTATTCTCAATTGACTATAATACTTTTAGCAGAAAATTAAAAAAATTCTCTCACCTCAAGAGTATGCAAGAAAACTACTGTTTCACTTGCAGAAGCTCTATCATCGGATTATTTAACATTAAAAAAAATCCAAGAAAGTAAAAAGGAAAAGAAAAAAAATGAAAAAGAAAAAAATGATTCAGTTTTAGATATTCTATTCAAAAAATCATTACTTTTGTACAAGAAAAATTGATACTTTTAATTTTTTCTCAAAATATTTTTTAAAAACTTTAATTTCGAGTAAAATTGATACTTTCAACTTTTTCCCAAAAATATTTTTAAAAAGCTTATTTTCAAGGAAAATTGATACTTTTAACTTTTCCTCAAAAAAACCTTTTTTGAAAACTTATTTTAAGAAAAATTGATACTTTCAACTTTTTCTCAAAAATTCATTTTTGAAAACTTATTTTTAAGAAAAATTGATACTTTCAACTTTTCCCCAAAAATTTTTTTTTTTGGAAAGCTTATTTTCAAGAAAAATTGATACTTTTAACTTTTTCTCAAAAATATTTTTTTGAATTTTAAAGAAAATAAAATAAATAAAAATAAAAATAAAATAAAAAATATTAAACAATTTTAATCCAATCAATAAATAAAAATAATAATAAATAAATAAATAAAAACCTGGGAACGACTCAACTTAATGGCTCGATTCGACGAGGCTTGAGGAAGAAAAGACGACTCGAAGACGCGGCTCGACTCGGATCGACTCAGCTTCAGAAACGGCTCACACTCGGGTTGAACGCGGGTCGAAAGAGGGTTGATTTCAAAACGCGCGGATCCTCTGGGCATAGTAACGTCAAAACGACGTCGTTTTCACCGAGTATAAAAGGCTAATTCTTCCGTTTCTCAGCAGATCTCTCATCCCCTCTTTCTCTTCCCTTACTTTTCTCTCCCTTCTCTCTAAACCAACGAAGAACTCTGGTTGAATCTCGTCGAATTCTGAAAATTTTCGTCGAAATCTAGGTTTTTCGTAAGAAGTTCGTCAAAAAGTTGAT